GAAGACATTGAAATTCGACTGGCCTGAAACCTGGACACAGGACATACAGGACTCAGAACTAGTGATGGGTTCGTCACACGTTCGACTCGAACATCGCTAGTTCATGTGTTTGCCGAACACATGACATACAAGAGTGTTTGGCGTCTGTTCGATGCGCCTTGTGAAGCCCTAATTGGTTAAAGGATTGCACCTGACCACAGGTCAAGTGCAAGACTTTGCCCAATCAGGGCTCAGTACTCTGTAAGAGCCATGATTGGGCCAAGTCACGATGACTTTGCCCAATCATGGCTCACCTGTCAGATGACGTAAAACTGTACAGAGTTGGGCGGAGCTAGCTGTCGCCGCTAGCTCCGCCCAATTGTTTATGTTTTGCCGGCATCTGTCAAAATACTATTCTGCGGGTGTTCCGCCCGTGCGAACGCGACGGCGGTCGTTGTTTTTAAAAATATTATTTATAGTTATTGTTTCATTTCGTTTTCGTTTTGGATAAAAAAAACCCCATACATGTCCCCCCAGGACAGTACCCGGACCCCCATACATGTCCCCCCAGGACAGTACCCGGACCCCCATACATGTCCCCCCAGGACAGTACCCGGATGCCCATACACTTTGTATGGCCAATAACTTGCATATAAGCGTTCTTATAGGGGACAATTGTTTTTGAAAGTTCTACCCCCATAGAGTTGCACTGAGTTTGAGATCAAACTTTTTGGATGTTCTAAAGTTCGAATTCGAACCGAACTCGGACCTGTTCGGCCCATCACTAGTCATAACCCGGACTGCCTGGGTAAGTCCCGGACAGGTGGCAACCTTATGCTGTACAGATGTAAATGTTAGCACACATGTTACATGTGTACAGTGGGCAAGATCCTATGTAAACACGTACACCCGTGTGCATGAGCCCTTAGTCCTGATTTACACCTAAGCATTTTGAAACCAGAGGCAAGCTCCAAAACGCTCAACAACCAAAATACCATGTTTTAATTAATGTCTGTACATATATGAATGCTCAGATGCCTGTGGCTTGACATCTGAAGTACCTGAGCTACTTTGGATGCAGAACGGGGTGTTTAGACCTCAATAGAGGCGCCTGAGAAATGCCTGAATACGGCTAAAAGCAGGGGCGTCCCGAGGCTGGGTGACACCCAGAGTGGAGACCCCGCAGTGACATCATCATGCATGCGTGTGATGTCACCACACCTGTGTGTGATGACATCATCGGGCATGCACGGTCATCTAACTGACGCCTGCCAGCGGCCATTTTGGTGATGGACACCGGCAGAGAGAGGAGGGGACGTTCACCTGGCGGGATGAGGTATACCGCCAGGTCCCCTCCTCTCTCCAGACACTTACGATCCCGTGCGGCCGATCGCATTGCGGCCGGAGGGCGTGGCTACGGTGCCATTCACTTCGTGCCTCCTGCCCCACGAAAAAGTGAGCCGGCTGTAATGCAAAGCAGTGCGTTCTGGCTAGAATCGGGCCGGAACTCACTGCATCTGGTGTGAACGGGCCCTTAGGGTTTACGAATTTTCACACCAAAAACAAAGGAAAATTTACTTCACAACGGGTTAAAAATTTCATAACAATAAATTCGAGAAGAGAAGCATTACTCTGTCTTCTGTTTCACTGAGGAACCCCATGGTGGACCTTGTTTGGTGCCACCAGTACATAGGCAAGAACAGTTGTTACAAAGTGGTTCATTTATGATGGAAAAACAAGAGAATTGGAGGTGTTAGCCACAGCAGCCAATCAGAAGCTAGGCTTCAAATACCCAGAGCAGGTTCCTGGAATACATGGTAATCATAATGATATTTTCTAGTTGTCTTCTGCTGTATACATCGCCCCCGGTGAGTCAATCTGCTTGTCGGTCATTTTCCCAGCTTGAATTTCCTCACAAGTCCACCAAGTCGGCTACACGCTCTGCTCCTTCTCCTCGGCTGGAGGGTTGTCTGTACTGGTCACCTCCTTATGAAAGATCATCGAAGATTCCAGGGTGCAGTTAGAAGGACAGTCAGGAGAGGAGATCAGCTGCTGCAGAAGACATGACAATTTAGCGTAAGCAAGGTGACCTCAGACCATGATAATAAATCACTCTGATTGCTAGTTCCATGGAACAATGAAAGAGGCTATACTTGTATTTAGGAACATGAAACACGAGGTTCAGTTCACAAAGCCAGCATGCCAGGATAGGGATCCTTAATTAACCAATTGCTGCTGCAGCTGTGTTCTTGGTGTCATTTTAAACAGCGGCAATGGCTGTTCAGGTACAAGCGATCCGGCGTCTATACAGCCGCTGCATACTTCGTACTGATCGGCGGAATGTGCGGCTCCTACCACCTTCCGCCGGCTTCCCCGGGCTGCGCTGTCCCCAGTCTGGGCCCGGGTCTGGCACTACGGTTCTCCCGATTGGAGAGAGATCGGCAGGCTTCTAGCCGCTGGTCTCTTCTCCAATCACTGGACCCGGGCGTGATGTGTATCACATCACTTCCGGTGTCACTGGGCACATTCTCTGGCTCAGAAGAGGCTGGGGAAGCAGATCTCTGCTTCCTCAGCTTCTTTGGGGTCTGAAAGATCCCTGTTGTCTCCATAAAGAGGACCTGACACATCATATCTACTGTTACATAGGGGGCTGGTTAGCAATAAAGTTAGTGGGAAAAAAAATTAAAAAATCAAAGTAACATATAAAAAAAAAAAATGCAAAAAAATGTTTAAAGTTCCCCCCCCCCCCCCCCCACGTGCACGCTCATACAAGCGCAAACACAGGTAGGGATGCGCCTAAATGCTAAAACAAGAAAATTGCGCCACGCATGTTACATATCACCGCAAACGTCGGAGGGAGATCAATAATTCTAGGCCCATTAATTTTTCTAGCCAATAATTCAGATTTTATCATCATGTGTGCGCAAATAGTAAGAAATTGCTCCGGGCAGGAAGTGGTTAAAGGAGAACTATGAGGGGAGTGATTTTCACTCATCCTCATAATCTGAGCCGACCTGTGACAATGAAACGGTCACACGTCGGCTCAGTTGATCGGGAAGTGAGCGAACACATACCAGCGCTCGCTCACTTGTCGATCTATCCCTGCAGAGGGCCGTGACTGTCACTCACGGCTCTCTGCAGGGATTCCCCGCTACGATCCTCCAGCACTGACTGGTGGAACTGATGGGGAAGGGGGCGGGTACAGCTGGCTCTGCCTCTAGATAGGCAGAGCCAGCTGTCGCTCACGCAGCTGGGCGGATCCAGACAGAATTGTTGGGATCCGCTCCGGCTGAGGCGTCTCAGTATACCGCGAGCTGTAGCTTCCTATATACTGAGCTTTGGGTGATGGGAGGACGCTAGTTTGTGTCCTCCCGTTACCCTTAGGAGAACTATGGGGGAAAAACACTGACCCCATAGTTCTCCTTTAAGAAAAAAAGAATAGTTTACTTTTGCTGAGAGCCAACTGCTGAAAATAAAGATTCTTATCCCCATGGTAAAGCTTTGTGAATTGAGTCTATAGTGCTAGATCTCCAATTTGGCCCACAATCCTCCTTCTACCTGAGTAAGACAACTCAGCTGCTCATGGGTGGAGCTAAGTGCTTCCCCACCCATCGAAGGCTTTGTCTATTGATTGAGACAAGGACACCCATGGCAATTAGTTGTCAGGACTGCTGGGACTAGTTGTCTTGGAAACGACGACACCAAAACCCATTTACCTGCTTGTTTATAAACTCCGCCAGATCAGTATTTATTCAGTTTTGGAGTTGCAGCACTACATCATGCCATCCAAAACTTTAAAAAGGTAAATAACCCCTATCCTGTAATATACATTATTTTCTATTGTTGCAAGACCCTGCTCATCCTTTCATACGTAGTGATAGAAGGGACCCGCTGAACCAGATGTATTAAAAATGGAAGAAAGTGGCATGGTGTACATGATGCACATATGATGTACACCATGATGTAGGTACACCCTACATGACCATAGGGTAGGTTTTTGTTAACTTACTGGTTTAGAAGCAGTTTGAAGGGTGCTGATGGTGGACGTATCCTGTTTCTTCTGCTTCTTCTGTTTACAAAGTCCACTGAACAATTTGCGGTACTCTTCTCTGACCTAAAAAAATATACCAAATGATTTAATTATAGGAGGTAAGGTAACATGAAGAAATCTACAGTACATTGACTGATACACTAATATGTGGATCTCTCGAGGTCCCCAAACTAACTGGTACTAGTCATGGGTCACCAAACTATGCAATGGGCACAAATATAAACTGTGTTGTTCAATCCCCCCCCCCTCCTATGTCTAACAACCCATCAATCTACCTATCAGTTTCTTGCTGTTGTGTGTATTACAATGTCTGTTTATAGGTCTCCCGCATAGTCCTTGATCCCATTCTACATTCTTATTCCTGCACGCCTCAGTTCCTGGTGTCTACCTCTGCTGTACAGTCGAGGGTTGGCCTCATAATAAGTCCTGTGGACACAAACCACTTTTGACTTCCATTAAAGGTGACATACTGTGCAGGCACAAACAACTCCACACTCGGCCTTGCCAAGCAAGATGTAAAGAACGTGGGAGGCTGCTGCCATTGGAAAAGGTAAATAAGGTTGAGTGGGCAGTTCAGTTTAAGATACACTATATTGCCAAAAGTATTGGGACGCCCCTCCAAATCATTGGATTCAGGTGTTCCGTGACATTTCCTGGCTACTAAATATTCCGTGGTCATCTGTTACTGGGATTATAACAAAGTGGAAGCAACTGGGAACAACAGCAACTCAGCCAGGTAGTGGTAGGCCACGTAAGATGACAGAGCGGGGTCAGCGCATGCTGAAGCGCACAGTGCGCAGAAGTCGCCAACTGTCTGCAGAGACAATAGCTACAGACCTCCAAACTTGGTGTGGCCTTCAGATTGGCACAACAACAGTGCGTAGAGAGCTTCATGGAATGGGTTTCCATGGCCGAGCAGCTGCATCCAAGCCTCACATCACCAAGTGCAATGCAAAGCGTGGGATGCCGCGGTGTAAAGCGCGCTGCCACTGGACTCTAGAGAAGTGGAGACGTGTTCTCTGGAGTGACTCAATCACGCTTCTCTGTCTGCCAATCCGATGGACGTGTCTGTGTTTCGTGGATGCCAGGAGAACGATACTTGTCTGACTGCATTGTGCCAAGTGTAAAGTTTGGTGGAGGGGGGATTATGGGGGAGGGGTTGTTTTTCAGGGGTTGGGCTTGGCCCCTTAGTTCCAGATAGAGTATTTGAAACACAGCGCTAGAGATGAAGTCAACAAAATATGTGTAAATATTCACAGATTGGGTTAAGTGATCAGTGTATATCAATGTATAAATTATGTGTATTTGAAACAGTCATAAAAAGTAAACGAAAAAGATGGTTTGTATCACTGTGTGAACAACATGAGTAAGCAATTAACTAAAGATTAAGTGTAGCCTATGGCTAATAGATATAAATGACATTCAAACGTAAGTGAATAATCGTGATAAACTTAGATGACAAAGAATAAATAGTAAAATTGAATAATAATAAATAGATAAAATCAGCTTCGATTAAGATTAAGTAATAGTAGATGATAGTAGATGGATGAAATCAGCTTCGATTAATGAATATAATACGGCATTACAACTTCATTGAAAATATATAACACAGTATCAGAAAAAACGTCTCAAAAAGATTACAGTGAATAATCTGTGACAGTTTTTTCAAAAAAGCTGAAAAAAAAGTCTAATAATCAAAAAAAAAATTTCAGCTTAGGTTTTGTTGATATAAATAAAATAACAAAGAAAAGGAAAAAAATACCTGTTGATTGAGCAGACAGTGTACAAGGAAGATGTACAGTCCCTGGAGGCTGTTACAGATGGTGAAGAGGTAAGAAATGACCAGGGATTGAGGTCCAAACTGGAAGTAGCCAATACCCCAGGTACAGCCAAGGATGAAGAGCTGGGCCACAGCTTTGAAGGTCAGTAACCTGAGGAGAGGAGCAATAGTTAGGTGTGACATGAATGTGAGTGATCAGAGTTCTACAGAGTCTAGAGCTGGCTTGCATGAAGCAACCAGGAAGACGGCTTTTAACGTTTTTCTTATAACTGTGACATGAAAGTACATTGGTTGGTTGCATGAATATTCAGCCCCTGAGTCAAAACCTTGACCAGTAGAACCACTTTTGGCTACAAATACAAGTGTGATTTTTTTGGGGGGGATAAATCTCCACCACCCTTACAAATCTGGACCCCACAATATGATCCATTCTTCTCATTCTGTTGGCAGATAGCAATTTTCAAGTCTCCGATGGGTCGATGTTAGGGCTTTGGCCAGTTTATGACATTCAGGTTCTTGGTTTTTTGCCTATATCTATGGCTAGCAAGCAGTAGATATAGGCAAAAAGTAAAAAAAAAACCGCTTTAACAGCGGTTTAAACTTACCCCGTTATCGCCGCGCGCTCCCGCCCGAGAATCCGAAACTGCTCGGGCGGCTGCAAAGCATCTTGGGGCGGGCACAGTTTGGATTTTCGGCCGGGAGACGAGGAGAGATGCAAGGTAAGTCTATGGACGCATGCATCCGCATGCAGACACCGCGGGATCGGAAGTGCCTGCAGGGACAGAGGAGTCAGTGCTGGATTGGAGAGCCGCCGCACCGCTGGAGGGACAGATGAAAACATCAGGAAAGAAGAAGATCAGATTAAGAGACATTATTTAAGGTAAGTGCTAACTTTAATGTCACTTTAAGGTCATTGGGCAGTTGACAGATGAACCTCTGCCCCAGTCTCAGTTCTCTTTCATAATGAAACAGGTTTCCCAAAAACCTGCTATAATGGACTTTCATTTTGCCCTCAGTTCTGGCCAGATTCCCAGTTCTGCCAATTAATATGGTATGTACAACAATAGAGGGCCTGCAAGGATTGCGAAAGACCTAAGACCACCAGGAAAACACTGAGAAAGGTCATTGTGCAATGCAAACGGTGGGTGTGGCCAAATCACATCTACAAGTGGGAGTGACTTAAAAAATGAAAGTCTTCTACTACCTATGCATTTCTGCATGTAGAATATACATATAGAAATAAAAAAACAGTTAGTGCACAGGTCAGGGGTATGTAATGGACACCATAACGTATACAGGGTAGGAGTCAGGACTATGTAGCGCATAGAGTACAGGAGTCAGGAGTGTGTAATATACAACATTGTGCATAGAGTGCAGCAGTGAGGACTATACAGTGTATAGGGTGTGGCTGTCAAGACTATATAATACACAACACACTGTATACATTGCAGAAGTCAAAGTGTAGGGGTCAAGACTAGGTAATGCACAGCGCAGATTGCAGCTTGCAGATTGCAGTTGCCAGCAGTAAGTGCCCCTTTATTATTTATTTATGCAGCACTTTACATAGTTGCACATTCACAACAGCCCCTGCCCTCAAAGTACTTACAATCTAAGGTCACTATCTCACATGTATACATACGTACGGGGCCAATTTAGACAGGAGCCAATTAACCTTCCAACAAGGAAGGCCCGAAGAGAAAATAAATAAGTGGAGGGCATACATGACTAGGTGTATAGGGGAGACACGTTACAAAATGGTTACCGGGGGTTCGGTATTTGGACAAGGTCACTCACCTAATTGGACAGGTCAAAAGGTTAGGTGGAGCTTGAACGGTGGTCTGAGTAGGAGGGTCTTCTCTTCAGCAGTTGGAGATTGTCTGACGAGGAGTGAACTTCCCTCCCGCCCGCTCAATTCTTGTGGTTAGGCTCTGTGTAGTTATGCGGTTGGGGCTCTTTGGAGGCCATCTAATAATTTTTGGAGTGTGGTCTGTTTATTTCTTACAGGGACGGGTGGTGGGTGGTCTTGGCGGCTCGTATTAGGGGAAAGAATGGGGACATCTATGCTACCTCAGTCATGCCTTTGGAGTGTTGGAGGAAACTGGAGTACCCAGGGGAAACCCAGGCAGGCACAGTGAGAACATGCAAACTCCTTGTAGATAGTGTCCTGACCAGAATTGACTCTTATGTTTGTTGTCAGTGGTGAGGGCACCCCCAAAGTACTAGTGGTCAGTGGAGAATGCCCCTTAAAATATAAGTGGTCAGTGGAGTGTGCCTGTGTAAACGTTGGCTTTCAGTGTGTTTGTGCACTGTTGGCATTTAATGGTCTGGGCACCCGTTGGTGGTCAGTAGTCAGAGCCCCTATTAATGGTCTGTGCCCCTATTGGTGATCAGTGGTCTTTGCACCCCTTCCATGGTGGCTAGTGGGAGCAATGTTCTCCCAGCTCCTGGGTGTTTGCAAATACGCAGGCAACACATGGTTGAACATCCCTCTACCCAGCACTACTAAAATACAACCGAGCAATGCACTCAAACATTCATATTGACTTTCTTTGACATAGATGTTATTGGATTTGTGGTATCCAGCAGAAAAGCCCCAGTACAGGGAGGCAGATCTGGGGAGTGTGCCACAGGTGTCTGAATCCAGCAAACCCCATGCACAACATAATGCCGCCACCACCACCTTACTCCACAGTGGGAATGATGTTCACAGGATGATAGACATGTGCGATTCGTTTTGTTACGAATCAGAATTCGTACGAATTTTCCTGAAATTCGTAAATTCGGAAGCATCCGAAATCCGAATTGCAGTTTCCGAATTATATCCGAAATACGAAATTCCATTAACGAATTTCGGATCCGAATTTCTTTGAAACAGGAACTAATATTACCCCTGTAAATGAGGTTGAACAACATGACAAGATTTTTTTTTTTAATCCGAAATAAGGATCCACTGCTGCTGAGGGTTGGATTACAAAATACAGGTAGGAAATACGAAATTCCGTTGACGAAATTTCGTTCCATTACGAACATTCGTTATGATGAAGTTAAAAAGCAAAGTACATTTATATTGGAGTTGATGGTAGTTTTTTTTTAATCCGAAATCCGAAATTCGGATCCGAAATACGTATTTCGGATAAAAACGGAATTTCGTATTTCGGATAAAAAAAACAACTACCATCGACTCCAATATTAACAAAGGTATTTTTGCTTTTTGACTTCATCATAACGAATGTTCGTAAAGTTACGAAAATGTGCCGAAACTAACGAAAATTCGTATTTCGTACGAATCCGAATTGAGTTTCGGACACGAATTACGAAATAACGGATATTCTGAAACGAAACGGAACAAATTTTTTGACGGCGCACAAGTCTACAGGATGATGAGCAGTAACAGACTTTTACCAAACAGTGTATTTCACCAAAGCCAAAAATGAGTTTTATTCTCAGCAGACCAGAGAATGTTATTGCATATTTACTGCGTCTCCCACATAATTTTGGGCACATTCTAAAAAGCAAGATTCAACATTTTCAGTTATAGCTTTTTATGATCTTTTTCACAGAGCACTATAGAGTTAAAAAAAAAAAGACTACAGCAGAAGCTGTTTGTTTTCTGACTCTCTTTTGTCTTTGACTGAAACTCTGCACAGTACCCTGTACAGGCCAGTGGATGGCGGTGTGAGAGGGGAGAGGAGTCACTGCTCTGAGTCAGCTAGTTACATATGAAAATTTGAGCTTGAGCTAGTGAGTTCTGCAACCACCAGGCTGATTTTAGAAGACGCTAAGGATAACACGGGGTTAAATGTTATTATTTCAGTCCTGACGATAATGAAGATATATACAAAACCACTATTTATTGACTTTAATGAAAATGCATTAGACAAGGGTGTCAGGGAACCAGGGGTCTCACCTCTCCTCTGGGCCGCCAGATACGGTGTAGGGCACGGGGGCTCCTTCGGCTTGGCAGGACTCCTGGCACCAAGGTTGCTGCGCGAAATGTGCGGCAGACAGGCTGCACATGCGTGCACTGAACATTAGTGTGGTCAGGTGTGGGCCTTGCTGGGGGTGGTTCCGTCCTTTGCCTCATGCCATTGGCTCCCGGACGGAGAAGCCTCCTGGTTGTCTCTGCGACCAGGGGGTGGTCCTAGGTCGTGGTCCTGGGTCCCACTGGGTATAAATTCCAGTCAGAGCCCTGGCTTGTTGCTGAGTTATTCTACCTCTATGGTGCGATCACCTAGCATCTTGTGTTGGATACTGCTGCCTTTCCCTGACCCCTCATCTGAATTCCTGGTTACTGACCCCTTGGCCTGCCTTCCGCTCTTGAACCTAGCCATCTGCCTTGACCCGGACCGGACTTTGACTACGCCTTTTGGATTGCCCTCTTGTACCTCGTTTTCTGGTCTGTTTGCCCGTTTCCTGCCAGTGGGTTCCCCTCCATGCCTCAAGCCGGCGATACCCCGTGACAAAGGGGTATAGCCAAGAACTCAGACTAACCTCATGCTGGACATAAGTAGTGAATAGTGAATAATGATTTGCCACCAACCACAAACTGAACTCTGATTTGGATGGCCTGAGCCTCAAAATGCAGAACAAATTATTCAAAAAATGAATGTAATGCTTACCGAGTATTTTTCAGGGTGGACACATTGGCATTGAGAGTTGCCATCCTCTTCTTCAGGAGCCAAAAAGTGAGCACCAACAGAATCGTGTTCATCTATTAAAAGGTAAAATAATAATAAAAAAGTAAAGTTGTGAAAGAAACTAAAAGCACAAGAGCTTGCACTCAAATCAATATTCTTTACTGAGGCTTGCAATTCATGTTGGAGTCCAGCAACAGTACAATGTACAGAGTGGCAATGTATACATTTTCTGCAATCAATGACACAAAGGCAGGTGGTGGTCGTTCTCCATGCTGGATCCTGGCACCCAACCTAAGTTTAAAGGAGAACTATGAGATGAGTGATTTCCACTCACCTCATAGTTCTAGCCGACCTGTGACAATGAGACTGTCACAGGTCGGCTAAGTAGATCGGGAGGTGAGCGAACACATACCGGGTTTGCTCACCTCTCGATCCTGTCACGGCTCTCTGCCGTGACAGGGGGAGGGGCTGGATTCCCCTCTCCCCGCTCTGATCTGCCAGCGCTGACTGGCGGAACGGACGGGGAGGGGGCGGGTACAGCTGGCTCTGCCTCTAGATAGGCAGAGCCAGCTGTCACTCACGCAGCTGGGCGGATCCCGTCATCTAAGTCGGGATTCGCTCCGGCTGCGGCGTCTCAGTATACTGAGCTTAGGGTAACGGGAGGACGCTAGTTTGTGTCCTCCCGTTACCCTAAGGAGAACTATGGGGGAAAACACTGACCTCATAGTTCTCCTTTAATATTCAGTTTCATTCAACCTTCAAGAAGACTTCAATGGAGGGGTTTTTGTGTCATTGCTCTCAGCTCTAATCTGAATATCACCAATGTCAAGCTGATGATAATAAATCTGATGTACTGCTTGGACATGCCTTCAAATCATTGAACATGAACAGGACAATATTGCATGATCTGGGGAATGCATTGCTTTAATTTATGGGAGGCAGAACTAAGCAATGAAAGGCAGAGCTCAGAACTGGGGAAATCACATCTATAATGATGTCTGTGGAGGCACAAACACAAGTGTGTATTGCAGTAACCGATAAATAAGCACAGCACCTCATGTACATGGGAGACATGGTCCTGGGGTTGAGGAATACCCAGTATACCTCGATCAGTCATTACATTATGACCACTGAGAGGTGAAGTGAATAACATTGATTATCTCATGACAATGGTACCTGGAAGCAGAAACAAAGGAGCAAGTGTAAGGATTTAAGGGACTTTGACAAGGGCCACATTGTGATGTGTAGACGACTGGGTCAGAGCAACTCCAAAACTGCAGCTCTTGTGGGATGTTCTCGGTCTGCAGTGGTCAGGACCGACCAAAAGTGGCCCAAGGAAGGAAAACCGGTGCAACATGGTCATGGTCATGGCCAAGGCTCATACATGCACGTAGGGAGTGAAGGCTGGCCCGTGTAGTTCAATCCGATAGAAGAGGTACTGTAGCTCAAATTGCTGAAAAAGTTAATGCCGGGTCCAATAGGATGGTGTCTGAACACAGAGCAACAGCAACTGGTTTCCCAGTACACTCACCAGCCAGCCTGCAAAAGAAACCTGTCTAACTGCTAAGAGGTTTTAGTTGCACATTGAATGGCAAACACACTCATCAATTCATAACCAGCTTCAAAGCCTCCATTTTGGAGCATATATTATTATTATACAGGATTTATATAGCGCCAACAGTTTGCGCAGTGCTTTACAATATAAGGAAGACATTAGAATTACAATACAATTCAAGACAAGATGGTAAGGAGGGCCCTGCCCCTGAAGGCTTACAATCTAAAAAAGAGGGGCCAGTGATACATGAGGAGGGAGCTGTGTGAGGATTCATTATTTGAGAAATTGATATTTCAGTGGTTAGGTTGAGGTCTGATAAGCTTCCCTGAAGAGATGAGTCTTAAGGGAATGCCTAAAGGTAGTCAGAGTAGGAGATAGACGGACAGGTTGGGGTAAAGAGTTCCACAGAATGGGGGAGACTCTAGTGAAGTCCTGGAGGCGAGCATGCCATATATAGCAGAGGATGAATTAGGTTCAGGTTCGCCTTGCTTTGAAGCTGGTTATGAATTGATGAGTGTCTTTGCCATTCATTTTGCTTGTTGAACACACAGAGCATTGCAGTTTGTTGCATATGGTACAATGTAGCTATGGACCTGACAGGGTGCCCATGTTGACCCGTGTCCACAGCCAAAAGCACATACAATGGGCATGTGAGCTTTAGAACTGGGCCACGGAGCAATGGTAGAAGGTGGCCTGGTCTGATGAATAACGTTTTCTTTTACATCATGTGGATGGCTGGGTGCGTGTGTGTCACTTACCTGGGGAAGAGATGACACCAGGACGCAGTATGGGAAGAAGACAAGCCGGCGGAGACAGTGTGATGCTTTGGGCAATGTTCTGCTGGGAAACCTCGGGTCCTGACATACATGTAGATGTTACTTTGACACGTACCACCGACCTAAACATTGTTGCTGACCAAGTCCACCCCCTTCATGGAAACTGTACTCCCTGATGGCAGTGGCCTCTTTCAGCAGGATAATGCTCCCGGCCACACTGCAAAAATGGTTGAAGAATGGTTTGAGGAACACAACAATGAGTTTGAGGTGTTGACTTGGCCTCCAAATTCTCCAGATCTCAATCCAATTGATCATCTGCGGGATGTGCTGGAAAAACAAGTCCAATCCATGGAGACTCCACCTCGCAACTTTCAGGACTTAAAGGATCTGCTACTGGCGGCTTGGTACCAGATACCACAGCACACCTTCAGAGGTCTAGTGGAGTCCACACCTGGACGGGTCCGGAAAATGGGACCTACTCAATATTAGGCGGATGGTCATAATGTTATGGCTGATCGGTGTAGGATTCCTTTCTGACCCTACCTTCTACATACCTTGCTAGTGGGCTTTTAAAAGCAATGCTTTGACACAGTTGAAGCTTGTAATGTTTACAATATGGATAGTTTAGGGTAAGACAGCAGCACAGGAGTGCAAAGAATAGCATGTGAAGGACAATCAAACATCTGATGTATGTCTTCAAATGCTTTGGAATGTGTAGCTATTGGGGTTGCGCTGACTTCCATCATGCAATCAAGTAAACAAGGAAATTAAGTTCTATTTCCTTATGCATCATTGCTTTTTTTTTTTGCAAATAGAATTTCCCCCACATTCACTGAGGTAAGGGAAAGCTCCTCTGCAACGTGGATACTCCCTTGCAATAGGAACAAACTATTTGCCTTTATAAATCAACCCCTTTGTGTCTGTGGGATCAACTCCGGACACATTTACCTACTATGACGATGTATGAAGTATCTGCGGTACTTACTGTGATAAATGCACAGACTGGAACAAGGAAGCTCCAAACAATATCATGTCTGAGCCAGCAACTGCATGAAAGGACAAAACACATACTCAGTACTATGATAACACAAAAGGACAAAACACAACACAAAGCAGAACTTACTCTATAAATGTAGCCGTGCCAGCAGCACTCTAATGAGCTTAAATGGCAAACATAACAAGCTACGTTATAGTACTCATATTAATTACTTCATATACACTGAGTGGCCGGATTATTATATACACCGAGTGGCCGGATTATTATGACCACCTGACGTTTGTAGGCAGATTAGCTATAATTTGGCGCTGAAGTTGCAAGAGGGCCAGACCATTATAAATAGGGAAGCAGGTTGGTTACCACGACAGTAGAAGTGATTTGTTTCTGAAGATACGGGGAAACAATGCGATTTAACAGCCTTTGAACGCAGGATGATTGTCGGCGCTCAGAGCCATGGAGCGAGTATCAGCAAAACAGCAGAATTCGTTAAATGTTCAAGAGGGGCTCATTGTTAAAGTGTTTAAAGACCGGACTGTCAGCCGAAAATCTGGGTCTGAGCGTGCGAATTGTGGCCGTCAGCGACTAGTTAATGTTAGGGCAGAACGGGGGAGGGGCAAGACTGGTACAAGACAACAGAAGGGCAACAGCGCCGTGTCAGATTCCTCGCATCACCTTTCAACATGTCGTGGAGTCACGAGGCGGCCCAACGAAGTACTGATGGGGGGGTCATAATAATCTGGCCACTCAGTGTATAAACATGCAACAGTTTCCTAAACCTCAGAGGATCAGTGATAACAGATAAAGGGAAATATTTATTGCATATTCAGAGGGATAGGTGCAGCATTTTTAATCCAGATTCTCTCTGTGTATTATGGGGCATTCGCTGGACAAATCTTGTTAGATCGAATCATGCCACTGTGGATCTTGATAATACAGTAACAGCTATTTTTCTTATTTGGGTGAATCTTTTTGGAAATCTTTTGGGTGAAGCTGCACTGCTAAACCAGAACATATGTACGTCCATTGCCGTAATGTGCAGTTTGGCTATTTGTGTATATCACCAGGTTAGCTAAGCTGAGCTATGAATCCTTTCTCAGGTAAAACAGTAAAAATATATGTATTCCAACCGTTCATTTAGCCTGAAGCTCCTCTTTAGAATGATTGAGGATCCCAAAGAGGAGATATCCTCATTAAAGTGACATTAAACCCTCAGATTTTTTAACATAAACCAATACTGTAATGTGCGCCTTACTGTAATCCATGGTTGTTTCCCTTCTCTTTGCTGCTCTTCCTTTTAAATCCTCATGTCTTCTCATGCTGGGGGAGAACTTCCCTTTGCAGCTCAGGGCCTCTTCCTGTAGTGCTGGCTCAGGTTGTGAACCTTCACACAGACACCATGTATCCATTCCAGAGACAAGGCAGTCTGCTGCAAAACAGAAGTTCTGCCCAGCATGAGAAGAGATACAGATTTAAAAGGAAGAGCAGGTGGCTTGACGCGGACACGAGATGGACGCACATTGAAAGAGCTCCAGAGCTGACGGGAGAAATTTGCACGGATAATTAGCTGAGATGGGGAAAATTGGTCGCCAGCTTCCTTTTGAGCGTGACACAGGCTCCCAGGGCTACAACTCGATCCCAAGAATGTTCCGGGCCCAACACCCTGACCCGCGGAACACCAACTCTATGCCTGAACATGAGGCGTCGGAGCAGGAAGGCCGCCATCCCTCGTCAGCGGATGATGTACCCTCTTACATTAACAAACTGCCACAACGAGCGGACCTCAAATCTGTGGTGAGTGAGATCAAGCATGCTCTCTCGGATGCGGTTGCGGATCTGAGGACGGACATAAAATCGATCGCAGATCGCCTATCAGTGGTTGAGCAAGATGGCGCCCAGCGGGATGACAAAATTACAGTCAACAGGCGTGCGATCTCCTCGCATACCACTCATCTCATTACCATGCAGAGACATATGGAGGAACTGGACAATCGGGGGCGACGCCGCAACATCAGATATAAACTCTTCCAAGATCTTTCAGGTATTACCCTGCAAAACCGCAGAGCACTTAGACCGCTCTTGACGGAGCTACGCCGGCTCAACGTTCCATATCGCTGGAAATTTCCCTTCGGTCTAATGGCCTCCAGAGCGGGCTGCACGGCCGTGCTTCCTTCTGTGATCAGATCAACTTACCTCACCTACACCTCCCGGAATGGTATGCTGAATTCCTCCCGCCAGATGGATGGTATGAACCTGACCCAGAGGTTGCTCCAGCTCCATCGCTCTTCAGCCCGGCAAACGGTAGGCAGAGAGGCAGAGGCCTTGGTGGCCGTCGGGTCACTACCCCTCCTCCACGACGATTCGACACCCCACGCGCACGTCGCAGCCTAGCAACAGGTGCACCGGAGGGCTGAAGATCTGCCTGGTATTATTATACCCCGGCCGCCCTCCACATGGCTCCACTTGGGGTAGTTTGCAGTGTTATGCCCTGTGGCGAGTCTTTGTTGGATCCGGCGAAAGCGGAGGTCTCCTGCCCGTTGGCAGTTTCCAGAGCACGGTTCGTTCTATAGGTTAGACTTTGCTTTAGAACGTTTTCTATACTGATATGCAAACACCCGTTACCAGAACTTGGACTGTATCTTTGCTCCTTACTGACTTTCCTGACACGATATCAGGTGGCGCCTACACTCTTGGCCCATGCGAATATAGCCAT